AGTATAAGGAAAACAACTGGGCAGGTTTTCTGACTAAAAGTAGATGGACTTTTGGCTTTAGTGGAGAGAGACAATAGCACAGGGTGGCGAGTGCAGCAAAGCAAACACAATCAGTTCTTGCTTGTCCTCAACTGATTGTGATAATGCCAGATCTCCCAGTTTTCCAAGAAAACCTGGCTTTTCATGTTAGTGTGAGATATCTCTCAATCTCTGCCAGTGTTGTAAATTAACTATTAAACTATTTCCTAAGTTAGTTAACAATCTTTCCAAGTCATTCCAGTCAAACAAAATGCAAATAGGACCCGCACCTAGCCTGCTTATTGGAATCCAAATCAAGGGGAGCAAGATTCTTCACAAGTGCCTGGTTTTTCCTTCCATCTGGAAGCCGTTGCTGGTCAAGTGTGCATGTTGTCCTGCCCGTGGTTCACACCCAGGCCGTTCATAACTTCCTCCCCAAACTTTAGCTTCACGACATTTTACCACATGCTCAGAAGTGTTCTCAGCTCCTTCTGCCCCATTTCAGTGCCATGCATGTTGCAGAAAACCAGGTTGATATTCTCAGGGAGTTTTGCATTATGCAGACCAGAAGTCCCCAGATCCTGCACCCCTCCAAGATTAAATTGTAGAGAAAGTAAGAGGGATCCCCGTGCCACAGAAGTAGAGTGAATCCCAAACTGCCTGTCTTGCATGCTGTTTGAGAGGATGACTGCTGCAGACAGTATTCTCCTAATTGTCATATGCGTAGTGATGTCCTTCCCCTGCCCAGCATGGGAACAAAAACCTCTTTCTTGCATTTCCCAGCAATATTAATCCAAGGGTATCATGGAAAACATGCAAAAAGTTTGGGGAGGCCAGGCGTGGAGGCTCACGCCTGTAATCCTAGCACTCTGGGAGGCCAAGGCAGGTGGACTGCCTGAGCCAGAGTGAAATCTCTTCTCTAAAAATCGCTGGGCATTGTGTGGGGCACCTGTAATCCCAGCTACTTAGGAGGCTGAGGCAAGAGAATTGCTTGAGCTCAGGAGTTTGAGATTGCTGTGAGCTGCAAAGCCATGGCACTCTACCAAGGGTGACAAAGTGAGACTCGGTCTCAAAAAAGACAAAACAAAACAAACATACAAACAAAAAACAAAACAAAAAAGTGTGGGGAAAGCAGTGGGAAAATGGCCCCACAACAAGACAAGCACCTTCAATGGGACATTACTCCCCACCACGGCGTATCAAACCCACTGTGTGTCCTCTGTCCTTTCACTGCTGGGTCCCGCCTCTCCTAAGAGAACACTAATTCCTACCCCATCCCCTCCACTACCACCAAGCTCATGGCCTTGAAGTCTTCCCCCTCAGCCACAGCCTTAGAATTCCCATAATTTTATTATGCCAAGAAATTTCAGCCTGTTCTTTGGCTCAGCTTTTAGACTGGTCCCAGGCTTTCTGTTTAGATACCTCAAAAAGGTTATTGATTTGCTTTGAAAAGCAAATATACAGGTGTTCCCCCTGAGGTGAATTTGTAGCTCTTTTTGAATGTGGAAAATTGCTCCACTACTATATTAGAGAGAGACTGAATATACCTACAGACCCCGACCAGACCGAATATCAAAATTGCCTCACAATCTGCAGCAGCCTGCCTGCTTTCTATAAGTCAGCCTCATAGGAAGCCAGACCATTAACTCTAACAATCTTCCCAAGCAGCAAAACAATAACCCCAATAACAGTTGACCCCAAATGGCCAGGACTTGATTAGTAACTGACCGCTTCCCTAATTTTTGTCCCCATGTCCCATGTAGGACGAATCACTCCCTTTACCAATAAAGAAAGCAAATACACTCCCTTTACTCAATCACATGGGATCACTTACCCCTAACTGGGCCATCTGCAGCTTCTCCAGACCAACAACCTCCAACCAGGCACAGCTGAAGCCTTCCATTCACTTCCATCCCTCTGCCTGCCTTAGGGTCCTAGCTAAGTATAAGTGATGGTTGCTGACTCCCTTGTCATAGCAACCTTGAGTACTTATTTTGCCCACTCTTATTTGTTTGGTCTTTTTTATTTCTATAACTGATCTTGATCATTTTAATTTTATATAGATGGGCATCCTCCAGGATGGTTTTAAAAGCAGAAACATCCCATCCTTCCCAGACATCCATGGAAGGGTAGTGAACTCCAATATTGAAGTCAAGTTTTATGGGAATTCTTGTGGCAGCCTCAGAGGCTGGTTAAGGGGATGTGGGCATGGTGGTTGTCAGGCAGAACTCTTTGGGTACAAGTGAGATCAATCCAGCTCAAACTGGCCTAATGGGGTAAAAAGCCAAGCATGGGCCCATTTAGCTGAAAATTCTGAAGTACAATGGCTCCAGGGACAGTAGGCTGGTTGATGTCACCCAAATCCTTTTTCTTTGTTGTCCTTATTGGTTTTTGGGTTTTTTGTTTGTTTGGTTTTGTTTTTTGAGACAGGGTCTCACTATGTCGCCCTCAGTAGAGTGCTGCGGGGTCACAGCTCACAGCAACCTCAAACTCTTGGGCTTAAGCGAGTCTCTTGCCTCAGCCTCCCAAGTAGCTGGGACTACAGGCACCTGCCACAACACCGGGCTATTTTTTGTTGCAGTTGTCATTGTTTAGCTGGCCCTGGGCCGGGTTCAAACCCTCCAGCCTCAGTGTATGTGGCTGGTTCCCTAACCACTGTGCTATAGGCACCAAGCTTCCTTGTTGGCTTTGTTCTCAGGTGGACTGTCACTCCCAAGCTTACATCTCCTGGCTCAGGGATGCCAGGAGAAAGCTATTTTTCGTGAAGAAATTGAAAAAGTCCTGGAATTCAGATTCTTTAGAGGAAATTGGATGTGGGTCTATTCAAATAATCAGCTGTGATATCCCTGGTGATGACCTATGGGGACTGGTCAGTGTTGGTACAGACTCAGTCCTGAAGCAAGGGGACTTGCTGGATAGTGGTGAGTAGTGGTCCTCGGGGAAACCAAGGGCAAACAAGTGTCACACAAGTAGTAACACTGGAGGTGCTGGAGGACAGGGCCATAAGGGACCTTGGATCTCTCTCAAACCTGAGAAATTTAGAAATGCAGCAGAGGAAGTGAGGATGAGGGCAAGTTACAAGGTTTGTGGGTCAGAGGCAGGCTTGGTCCTATAGCTCTGATCCTGAAAAAGTGGTACTGTGTTCCTATTTCCACAACTTAGAAACCCTCTGCAGGGCATATAAAGACCCAGGCTGGGCTGGACTCTTTCCATCAGCCCATGACCCTGCTATCTCCTGAAATTGGCCAGTCCAGCCTCTTCCCTACTTGGGCCCTTTTTACCTTGTAGACTTTATAGGAAAATTTCCCTTTCTGCTGAATCAGGGTACCTCTGTCTACATGTTGTGGCTATGGAGGCAACTTCCTTCCCACTCCCCATCTCTTCTGTGTTCGTGCTCTTTGTAGATGAATCAGAGCTTGGGGTTAAAGAGTCCCAGGGCAGGTCTCTGCAGCCTAGGGTTACTTCTGCCCTCCCTGCTACTGACCAGGGCAACAGCCAGGGTGGGGAAGTAGGGAGGAGCCCAGTTTGAATCTCAGTCCACTGGACAGAGCCTGGGGAATGTGGGCACCTTCCCCTATCTCTGGCATGTGGTCTGATTGATCTTCAGGTCCATGAAACACCAAATTCAAATTTCCCACGTTCAAAATTCCCCCAGGGCAGGTGTGACTTCAGTGCTCACCTTCCCTCTCTGGGTTTCTGCCATCTTCTACATTTTATGTATTTATTTATTTATTGGAGACAAAGTCTCTTACTCTGTTGCCCCAGGCTAGAGTGCCCAGGGATCAGCCTAGCTCACAGCAACCTCAAACTCCTGGTCTCAGCAATCCTCCTGCCTCAGCTTCTCGAGTAGCTGGAACTATGGGCACCACCCACCATGCCCACCTTTTTTTCTATTTTTACTAGAGATGGGGTCTTGCCTTCCTCAGGCTGGCCTTGAACTCCTGAGCTCAAATGATCCTCCCTGACCCTGAGCTCAAATGATCCTCCCATGTCATCCTCCCAGAGTGCTGGGATTACACATAGGAGTCACTGCACCTGGCCTGTCATCTATTTTTGAAACACACCACACATGTTCCCACCTCGGGAATTTTAAAAATGCCTGTTCTTTGGAATGGGCCTGCTTTTGCCCAGATACCTGCACATTCATCCCCTCCATTCCTCCATATCTTTACCTACATGTCAACTTCTTCACGAGGCCTTCCCTGGCCATGTTTACAAATGTTTTAGCAGTCTTCAAGATTCCCCCCTCTGGGCTCAGCGCCTGTGGCTGAAGTGGTTAAGGCGCCAGCCACATATACCTAAGGTGGTGGGTTCGAATCCAGCCCAGGCCCACCAAACAACAATAATGGCTGCAACCAAAAAATAGCCGGGCGTTGTAGCGGGCGCCTGTGGTCCCAGCTACTTGGGAGGCTGAGGCAGGAGACTTGCTTGAGCTCAGGAGTTGGAGGTTGCTGTGAGCTGTGATGTCACAGCACTCTACCCAGGGGGATACTTTGAGGCTCTGTCTCAAAAAAAAACACAAAACAGAAAAAAAAAGATTCTTCCTCCATGTTCCTGTTTTGATTTTTTTTTTCTTAGAATGTGTCATTCTCTAGGAGACTGTGTATCATAATTTTTATATTACATGCTTCTCTCCTCACTAGGAATTTTTACTCACTTTGCTACCCTAAGACCTGATCCTTTCCTGTGTTTTCAGCCCCTAAATGGGGCCAGCACACAGCAAGTATCTGCGAAGCTTTAGTTGAATGAGTGAATTCTCAGAAGTCACATCTATCCAGACTACTGCAGCCTCCACTGGGGTGGGAGACAGGATGATTTCACATCCCCCGCATCCTCCATCGGCATCAAGTTCCCCTTCTGTGAGGCCACAGCTCTGCTCACCCACTGGCTTCCTGTACAGACTCCCTGGTCCCGCCCCATATTTGGGTGTTTCCTTCCTTTATAGAGGGACTGGCCAGGGACTCAGGCCCAGCAGCACGGACATGCTGGCCCTGCTGCTGCTGCCCCTGCTGTGGGAGGGTGAGTGGGTTGAAAGGGTCGGGTGGGCATGAGTGTGGGGGGAGCTGCAGCTGCAGCTGACTTTGTGTGCCCCCAGGGTCCCTGCAGGTGGACACAGAGCTCAAGGTACAAGTGCAGGATTCGGTGACCGTGCAGGAGGGCCTGTGCACTGTCGTGCCCTGTTTCTTCTCCTTCTGGAGTCGGTGGTCTTCCTCTCCCCCACGCTACATCCACTGGTTCCAGGCTAGGGACAGCCCATACTTTGATGCTGCTGTGGCCACGAGCAACCCAGACAAATACGTGAAGGCACAGACCAAGGGCCGATTCCTCCTCCTTGGAAATACCAGGAACAGAAACTGCTCCCTAAGCATCAAAAATGCCAAGATAGAGGACACAGGGACTTACTTCTTGAATGTGGAGAAAGAAAATGGTATAAGATATAATTCTGAAGAGAGGCTGAATCTGCAGGTGACAGGTATGGCAGAGGCCCCAGGAGAGGCCCTGGGGATGTGGAGACCCCGTATCAGAACAGGGACAGGATGTTAGAATGTTCCCTGCTCAAGTCTTAGGCAGGGGTGGTTAAAAGAGATCCAGGACTCAGGGCCAGCTCATGGCCTGAGGCCCTGGTCACTCTCAGTCACACTGTGGGTCCCACCTTTCTAGAGCCTGGGCATCTCCCTCTCTCCTCCTCAGCCCTCACGGAGAAACCCGCCATCCGCTTTCTGGAGCCTCTGGAGTCTGGCCACCCTACACAGCTGAACTGTAGCCTGCCGGGATCCTGCCCAGGAGGACGACCTCTCAGTTTCTCCTGGACAGGAGGTGCCCTTCAGTCCTTGGACCCTGGGACCCTTCACTCCTCGGCCATCACCCTCACCCCAAGGCCCCAGGACCACGGCACCAATCTCACCTGTCAGGTGAAACTCCAAAACTCTCATGTGACCACAGAGAGAACTGTCCAGCTCAATGTCACCTGTAAGTGGTGGGAGGGACACCTGGGTTCCTTGGGCAGTGGGAGTGAGGTTTGTGTGTGCATGTGTTTGTGTGTGTGTGTGCGTGCGTGTGTGTGTGTAGGATGGAGAGAGAGAAAGAAGAAAAAATAGAGAAAACTCAAGGGTGGATCTGAGGCATGGAAGTCTGGGTGGCGAGTGGGCTGGGAGGACAGCCATCCCCACCTTCTCAGTTCTGGTGGCCCTTCCATGGGTCCCCCCAGGCCCAGGCCCATCCACTCCTCACCTCTGAAGCTAGGGCACTGTCTTTCTGTCCCAGATGCTCCACAGAACCTCACCATCAGCGTCCTCGGAAATGGCACAGGTGGGAAGATCCTTTCCTGCCCAGGCTCTGACAAGAGCCCTCTGCAGGCTCAGGGCTCAGAATTGGGGTGGAGACCACCACCCAGTCCTTCAGCTACCTTCCACTCACCATGGCCTGGCCCTAGCAGTCCCAGCATTGCTTCTGGCTTTTCTCTTTTCTCTACTTTTCAAATTTACTTTTAATTGTGGTAAAATATTCAGAGCATAAAATGTATCATTTTAATCATTTTGAGTAGTACAGTTCTGGAGTGTAAGGACACTCAAATCATTGTGCAATAGGCACAGCTCCTATTTTTATCTTGCAAAACTGAAACTCTGTACCCCTTAACCAGCAGCTCCCTATTTCCCGCTTCCGCCAGCCCCAGGCTACCCCTACCCTACTCTCTATGGCTCTGAGTCCTCCCTGGGCACTGCTCCCTCCTTCTGCATTTCTATGTGTCCCACCTCCTTTGACACACACACTTGTCTCTGATGTGATCATCCTTTCAGGGACCTTTCCATGGTCCTACTTCCAATGTTCTGTCCCTTCCCCATTTCTCTCTTCCCAGGGCCACCCTGTCCCTCTGCTGACCCTGTCCTGATGCCTCCCCCAACTTTATATCCAGCCCTTCCCTGAGTCACAGATCCACACACACAGCCACTTCCTGCTGGTGCCTCTCAGCTAGCCTCTCCCCAGTCTGTTTACCCCCAGGGTATTCCGGACAGAGCCAGAGATACTCCCTCCTCACCAGCTACCCCTGGCGAGTGAAGCCAGTGAGTGGGAGATCACCACTCTACAGGTCACTGCCCTCCTTTCCCCCAATTGGCCTCACACTCAGCTCCAATCTTGTCCTTCACAGGCCCACTGCCTCAGCCCTTCTCCAGCCCTCTACGTCCTGTCAAATCCCCCCAGCAGGATCCTCCTAGACCAGTGCTGGGTCTGTTTCCTCTTCTCATAGCCCCCTCTGCTTTTTCAGCACCCCAAGGACAAAGCCCAAGGCCCTCAGCCGGGTCTGACCCTGCCGGCTCTCCCACCATTACTCTGTCTTTGGAGCTCCTCTCGGGGCCACATTCCCTCATCTGCCCGGTGGTCTCTGTTCTTGGCGTATCTGCTCCTGAGCTGCCCCCCATTTCTCCTTAGTACCTCCTCGTCCTTCCAGCTTCGGCCCAGCCCCGCTTCTTTCTGACCTGACTGCGGGTGTTACTACCCCTTCTTCTGTGGCACAGCTCCCAACACTTGCCTTGCGGGCTTGTCTTTCTCCTCCTGGCTCAATGAGAGGGGAGAAGGGGAGACAGAAGTCAGATTCACTCACCTCGCTGCTGCTGCGCTGCTGCGTATGTGTTACACAGCCCTGAAAGTCATGAATGACAATGTGTCCCTGCTGGTACAGGAGGGCCAGTCCCTGAACCTGGTCTGTGTGGCTGACAGCAACCCTCCTGCCGGGATGTACTGGTCCTGGGAGGAAAAATCCCTGAATCCCTCCCAGGTCTCAGAGTCAGCGACTCTGGAGCTGCCCCACATAGGGGCTGGAGATGGAGGGGCATTCACCTGCCAGGCTCAGCACCCGCTGGGCTCCCAGCACCTTTCCTTGAGCCTCTCTGTGCAGAGTGAGTTGTAGGACTCATGATGGGGTGGGCAGCCTGCTCACGTGTTGGGGCTGTGGTAGGGGCTGAGGCCTGGGGACAGAACCTTACCCCCCTCCCCTTCCCCAGGAAGCCCCTCTGGCTGTGGATGTGTGACTGAGGAGCAGGAGGGCTCCTGGGCGCTGCTCATCACCCTGATCAGGGGGGCCCTCATGGGGGCTGGCTTCCTCCTCACCTATGGCCTCACCTGGATCTACTACACCAGGTGAGCAGGCTGCCTCTCTCCAAGGAAGCCAGTATCATGACTTTGAGCTGTCCCAACCCACCTGGAGCTGGAATGAAAGTAGACAACTGATCTGAGATGTGTGTTGGCTCTGCAGGTGTGCAGAGCCCCAGGGAAGCAGCACTAGGAGGCATGACTGAGTTCATCCTTCTCAAGACAAAACTGAGATGTGGACACCAAGCCCAGAAGCACAGACGCAAGAACATCACTGTCAGCTTCTTTCTGGAAACTCACATCCCACTGACTGCCCCTAGTTCCCTGCCTGCCCACACCCCACCTGCTATTCCCCACCCCAAGCCTGATCACCCCCATTCCTTTCCCTCCCACTCTTCTTCCTCTCTATCCCCAGCCCTGGGTAAGGAGTGAACTTTGAGTCTTATCCTCCTGTTACCCTACAGTGACCTTCTGAGCACTTGAGTTTTTTGTCTCCTTAGCTTCTGTCAGCATAGATGCGGATGCCCAGTGGAGTCATGGATGTGGCTTTTCTTTTTTATTTAAAGACTCTACCTTATTATAATCATTATAATATCTGACAGCAACATTTTATTATAGGTAAAAATTTATTACACATACAACATAAAAACTATTTAACGCCTCCGTGGGGAGTTTATAGAGCAACATTACGTCTTAATCTTTATTCTTTTTTGTTGAACGTGTTTTATTTAAGGCTTTTTGCTTTTTTTATGCATAAGAGAAATAATCCAGACCTAAACTGAATAAAACATGCCACTCTAAAGTGTATAATTAGATGAATTTTTTACACATGTACGTGCTCTTCTTTCCACCATCCAAATTCCTTCCAGCCCCACCTTCACCCTCCAAAACTTTCCTGTGCTCTTGCCAGTCACCAGAATCCTGTATGGGCCACATTTTCTCTCTGTCCATGTGGATCTGTATGGTCAGCTTTTCTGTAGTGGAGTCAATCATACACATCAGCACCTGTTCTTTTTTCAGTATGTTTTTTCTGATTTATCCATGTTGTTTCATGAATCAATTGTTCATTTCTGGTTTGGGTATGTCTTTTGCCAAATTTGGAAATTTGAGACATTATTCAAATGTCTTTTTCTATCCCATTCTGTCTTTCCTCTTCTTTGGGGATTTTGATTACATGTATGTAGACATTTTTGCTGTCGTCGTTTCACAGACTCCTGATTCTCTGCTCCTGTTCATTTCATATATTTTGTTCTCTTTCTTTTTCATTGGACAGTTTTCATTGATTTGTCTCTGCATTCAAGGGCTCTTTCCTCAGTCATGTGCTTCCTGATATTAAGCTGATACAGTTTAAAATTTTGGATACTGTATTACATTTCTCAGGCTTGAAGTTTTCATTTACTCCTTTTAAATAAGCATTTCCTATATTACTGATGATATTTTCTATATTTTTCTTCATTATAACTCCATTTTCCTTTACCTCCTTGAGCATATTCATAGCAGCTACATTTACATGCTTTTTTTTTTTTTGAGACAGAGTCTCACTTTGTTACCCTCCATAGAGTACCCTGGCTTCACAACTCACAGCAACCTCAAATCCTTGGGCTCAAGCAATTCTCTTGCCTCCCAAGTAACTGGGACTACAGGCGCCTGCCATAATTCCCGGCTATTTTTTTAGAGATGGGGTCTCGCTCTTTCTCATGCTGGTCTTGAACTCGTGAGCACAGGCAATCCACCTGCCTGGCCTCCCAAGTGCTAGGATTACAAGCATGCGCCACCGTGCCTGGCCTACTTTAACATTGTTATCTGTTACTTCCATCATCTCGACCATCTCAGCACTGGCCTCTGTGTATCGTCTTTCACTTTTCCCCTTTTCCTTGTGTTGCGACCTTCAGAATTAGGTACCGTTTTCCTGGTTTTTTTTTTTTTTTTTCATATGTTATATAGTTTGGGGTTGGTTCCTAAATGTTGTTAAGTGTTTGTTTGTTTGTTTCAAAGCAGGCAAATTACTTGGCTCAAGCCATATTCAAACTATTCCTTTCCTGTGATGGCTGAGAGCTCATGTCTCATTAAACCCTTTCCTGCAGTGCTTGTGGTATGCACTGCATATGCATGGTTCTGAGGTCAGCCAGAGACAGGGGAGGAGTTTATACCCAGATATTGGAGTTCCTCTTCTTTAGTTTTGTCCTTCTTAGAATTCTCACCAGTATTCCTAGTTGCCCTTGACTTCATCCACAGTTCCTCAATCCAGAAAGATGGATGGATTTCAATTAGAGTTTTAGCAGCCCTGCTCTACACTGTGGCTCTGGCCCATCATTGGAACAAAGCTATTTATTTTTTGGTCTCTTCCCCCTAAACTTGATTCTACTCCAAAATCTTTTCTTTTCTTTTCTTTCTTTTTTTTTTTTTTTAGACAGAGCCTCAAGCTGTCGCCCCTGGGTAGAGTGAGATGGCATCACAGCTCACAGCAACTTCAAACTCCTGGGCTCAAGCGATTCTCTTGCTACAGGCTCCCAAATAGCTGGGACTACAGGAGCCCGCCACAATGCCCGGCTGTTTTTTGGTTGTAGTGGTCATTGTTGTTTGGCAGGCCTGGGCTGGATTCGAACCTGCCAGCTCTGTTGTGTGTGGCTGGTGCCTTAGCAGCTTAAGCTACAGGAGCCGAGCCTTCTTTTCTTTTCTTCCCTTTTCCTTCCCCTTTTCCTTCCTTCCTTCCTTCCTCAGAGAGTCTCACTTTCTCATCCTTGGTAGAGTTCTGTGCTATCATAGCTCACAGCAACCCCAAACTCCTGGGCCCAGGCAATCTTCCTGCCTCAGCCTCCCAAGCAGCTGGCACCACAGGCACCTGCCACAACGCCCAGCTATTTTTAGAGATGGAGTCTTGCTCTTGCTCAGCTGGCCGAAAACTCATGAGCTCAAGCAATCTGCTGGCTTCCACCTCCCAGAGTGTTAGGATTACAAGCATGAACCACCACATCCTTTTTTAAAAAGTAAATTTATTTCAGGTTAATGCGAGGGTATAAGCAACAAATATATTTGATTTTGTTAGGTAGGGTCCAGCTTGTGGTTATGTCCCATACACAAAAGGTGTGCCAATCCCTCCACCCCACGCCCATTCAGTGAGAGCACCCCAACCCCCTCTCTCTGCCCCCAACTTGAAATAGAATGAATTTTTCATCTATGTGGGCATGCATCAGATCGTCCACTGCCTTCATATTAGTATTGAGTACATTGGATAATTGTTTTTCCATTCTTGTGATACTTACTAAGAAGAATGTGTTTCAGCTCCATCCAGGATATTATAAAAGATATGAACTCACCATCTTTTTATGACTGAAGAGTATTCCATTGTGTCCATGTACCACAATTTGTCAATCCATTCCTGAGTTGATGGGCATTTAGGTTGTTCCCACGTCTTGGTGATTGTAAACTGAGCTGTGATAAACAACCTAGTGCAAATGTCCTTATGATAAAATGATTTTTTTTCTGGATAGATGCCTAGTAGTTGGGTTGCAAAGTCAAATGGGAGATCTAATTTGAGATTTTTGAGGGTTCTCCGTGCTTCTTTCCAAAGAGGCTATATTAGTTTGCAGTCCCACCAACAGTGTAAGAGTGCTCCTCTCTCTCCACATCCACACTGGCATCTGCAGCTTTGGGACTTTGTGATGTGGGTTAATCTTACTGGGGTTAGGTGATATCTCAGAGCGGTTTTTTTTACAATTTTTGGCCAGAGCTGGGTTTGAACCCACCACTTCCTGCTGGTTCCCTTCTCCTTTGAGCCACAGGTGCCGCCCTCTCAGAGTGGTTTTGATTTACATTTCTTTGATGATTAGGGACGATGAGCATTTTTTCATATGTTTGTTAGCCATTCATCTGTCTTCCTTAGAGAGGGTTCTATTCATGTCTCTTGCCCAGTGATTTATGAGATTGTTAGCTTTTTTGTTGTTGATTAACTTGAGTTCTCTGTAGAACCTAGTTCTCAAGCCTTTGTCCAATTTGTAATATGCAAATATCTTTTCCCATTGTGTAGGTTGTCTATTTCGCTGTGGTTGTTGCCTCCTTAGCTGTACAGAAGCTTTTCAGTTTAAGTAAATCCATTTATTTTAGTTGATGTTGTAATTGCCACAGAAGTCTTCTTCATAAAATCTTTCCCCAGGCTGATATTTCTTTTCCCACTCTTCTCAGGTAGTCTTTTTTTCCCATTAAAGGTTATAACTTGCAAGGAATTTTTGTTGTTGTTGTTGTTGTTGAAGTTTCACTCTGCTTGGAGCTTACTCTCATAATATTTTCACAATAGAAGCACAACTCTCACTCCTTCATCTTGCAAGATCATTTCCTAATATTTGGAATTTTAGCTTTGCATCTGTTCCTTTTCATATTTTAGAGATGTTATTTTACTGTTTGGGGGAAGTTTCAGTTTTCTTGGGACAAGTCAGACGTAAGTTTCTCATTGCAGTTTCATCTAAGGTAATATCTTTTTATGACTTGCTGCTTTTATAATTCCTTCAGTCTTCTTTTCCCATGAATTTGTCTTTGATAGACTTCAGATTTTTTCTTTTACATTCTGTAAGTGCACAGAGCAAATAGAGCATGATATTTCCTTCTGTTCTATATGCTTAAACTCTTGATATACTCTTAATTTATTCAGTAATGTAAATCCATATGTCCCCACCCCCCCAAATTCATGTATTGAATGAAATCTTAATATGCAAGCTGATGGCATTAAGTAGTGGGCCTCTTAGGAAGTGATTAAATCATTGTGGCTTTGCCTTCATGAATGGGATTATTGCCCTTATAAAAGAGATTGAAGAGTGTGATTGTTCCTTCCACTATGTGAGGACACCACAGAAGGTACAACTATGAAGCAGAGATCCTCACTAGACTCCAAATCCACTGGCACCTTGCTCTTGGACTTCCCAGCCTCCAGAACTGGAAGAAGTTTCATCAGTTTCTAAACTACCCAGTTTATGGTATTTTGTCATAGCAGCCCAAATGGACTAAAGCAATTTACTTATTTTACAGTATGTTTTTTCCTTCTTTATTGTTTGTATAATTTTTATTGCAAGAGGGAGGCAGGACCACTTGCCACAACAATGATGGGAAGTGTAGCAACATAAAAGAGGCAATTCTAGTTATTCATTGTCATGAGCAAATGCTTGCTGTTCCCGTCTTTCATGGAAAGTTGAGCTTCCATAATATTTTATGAGACTTCTCAATATTTAAATACTGGAAACTAATTTATAGATTCCAACATTTATAAAATTTTTATCATCAGTAATCATTATAGGAGTGCAAATCAAAACCATTAGGAGATAACACTTGACACCCTTTAAGATGATTGATGTGAAACAGAGCAAAACATAACTAGATATCAATCATTGGTGAAGATATGGAGAAATTGGAATCCTTGTGCATGCTGGTAGCAATGTAAAATGATGCAGAGACTGTGGAAAATGACGTGGCAATTCTATCCACAAAAACTTAAACACAAAATTACTGTATGATTAAGCAATTCCACTTCTGAGCACATACCCAAAGAACTGAAAGCAGGAACACTGACAGAGATTTGCACACTAATCTCCCTAGCAGCATTATACACAGAGCCAAATTGTGGA